TTAATTGTAAATACATACATTGCAAATACATTATGCGCCGTCCTTGATCAAGCAACGAACATATTAAATAACTTAAAAAGCGATGCACTTACACAAAAAAATAAGCAGCGCTTAATTCAAACAGCGTATGAAAGTATTATTAGAGAGTGACATCAACAGTACATCTCAATATTAAGTGTGTCTTATATAGTTTACCTCATCCTGTACTATACAATGATTTAAAATTCGAAAATCTTAAAGTTCTCACATTCAATTCTCTCTCCAGAACTTTGGAAATACAAAGCTCATTTGAGCACGCAGAAGCACATGAGAAGCACCGCGTTCCAATATACTCCACAGCGTTCACAACCTCTGGGAAATTGTCTTTCCTTGTACAAAAGATAAGATCTTAATATGATATTTTTTAAGTTATTTCTTCTATTGCTTGAGAAATGAATAGCCAGACATTTTCAATTTTGAACAAACAAATTGATCTATTTTAAGAGCACTTTTACTTAGCGTAATGCATAAAACTGAATTTTAGTTAATTTAATTTTAAAAATAAATGTCACTATTAAAAACGATCAAATCCAATGGACCTTTCCCCTTATAACTAAAATTTCGATCTAGACAAAAATTTCATCACAGCTTGAAAGCGCATCACAAAATTAGTAATATTCCAAAGTTTTGTTGCAGAATCTTGTAAAATGCGGATTATATAGCCTTGCGAAGTTTGCCGTTTTTCAGTCATTTGGTATTACAAACGGGAAATTGACATACGATTCGGGTGTTGGGACTGCAATTTCCCGTTTGTAATGCAAAATGACTGAAAATTGAAAACTTCGCAAGGCTATATTTTCCTCATTTTACAACATTTTGCAACGAAACTTTGGAATATTACTAATTTTGTGATGCTCTTTCAAGCTGTGATGAAATATTTGTCTAGACTTGCCTAGATCAAAATTTTGGTTATAAGGGGAAAGGTCTATTATTGGCTGCAAAGTGCGAAAAAAGAAAGGGAGCTTAAACTGACAAGAACTATACAAAACATGACAGATAACAACGAAGTAGAAGAAGATGGACATGGTCATAAAATCACTATTCGAATTTAAATTCAACCTTATTGTTGTAACTATGATGTCGAATACTAAATAACTATTCTCTAACACTATTATAAGAAACGCGAGTGTCTCTAATTATTTTTTTTGCGTATTTGGCAAACGAACGCGTAATTTGTTGCTCCTAAAATAAAACAGCTGTCTCAAAAGCAACCGCTGCTTTCATTGCATTTAGTCACAAAAGTTACGGTTTTACTTTCACGTTTAATTGCAGGACAGGTGTGTGTGTGGACCGGGGGATGGTGGTGTCATTTTTTGGCTAAGCATAAAGGACTGTTGTTGCTATTTTTTTCACTTTGCCCTTTAGGGATGAACATGGTTGTGTGCTTGTCAAACCCTGTTATTAGCTTGATTGGCAGCTATTTTGGGGGAAGATAAGAAAGAATTATCTCCCAACTTTTACACCTTGCTGATCTATATAACACTGAGTACCCCAATCTCGCTCCCAGGGCCCCTCTTCAACACCCCCACACCCTGTTCCGCTGTCATCTTTCTTCCTTTATCTTTTCCACAAATGTGAAATAAGCAATTTACTTTTCTATTGGAATCGTTTTGCAAAGGTTTCTTTGCGTATCTCGTTTTATGAGTCCAGCATATGTAATTATAACACGTTCTAAAGCTAAGTGAAATATTCTATTTAGAGAAAATCCTGCGAAATTGTACCTTTATTTCAAATATTGTCCACAAATTTTTAAAAATGGATTTTATAATGCTAATCGGATCTATTTAAAGAGTTTTTTTCCAGAAAAAATTATGTGTTACTAAATTCTACAAAAAACGTTTGTTTTATATGCGTTGATCTTGTGCAGAATTTGTGCCAAGTTGGCGCTGCGACTGCAGTGTCAAACTGAAAGCTTACATGCAGAATTTCTAACAAGTAGGTGCTGCATTTGCAGAGCCAAACTCAAAGATTGGCTGCAGAATATCTAACAAGTTGGCGCTACATTTGCAGAGCCAAACTCAAAGATTGGCTGCAGAATATCTAACAAGTTGGCGCTGCATTTGCAGAGCCAAACTCAAAGATTGGCTGCAGAATATCTAACAAGTTGGCGTTGCATTTGCAGAGCCAAACTCAAAGATTGGCTGCAGAATATCTAACAAGTTGGCGCTGCATTTGCAGAGCCAAACTCAAAGGTTGGCTGCAGAATATCTAACAAGTTGGCGCTGCATTTGCAGAGCCAAACTCAAAGGTTGGCTGCAGAATATCTAACAAGTTGGCGCTGCAATTGCAGAGCCAAACTCAAAGGTTGGCTGCAGAATATCTAACAAGTTGGCACTGCATTTGCAGAGCCAAACTCAAAGGTTGACTGCAGAATAAAAATTGCAGAGCCAAACTCAAAGGTTAGCATGGTATACTATACTAATCTAACAAGTTGTGAGAAAAGATGTGTACGGGGTGGAGGTGGGTGAAAGGGGGGGGGGGGCTGAATCTAGTAATAGTATACCACACTGAATATTAGTAAACGCGACAGTGCCTTACATGCAATTATTATGTACTGGCACAACTACAGGATTAATTCATTGTTTATTTCTTTCTCGAGACATGAAATCCCTCATTTGCCGTTTTGTTTCGGGATGAAGTTTCGAGTCCTGCAACTCAAATGCTGTTAAATATATACAGTCTTTCGAAAGTTCGTCAGTCCATAGTTGGCCCCTTTCTTTCCATGGCTGCCATTTTTTATTCCACGAGCCTTTCCAGTATTCTATTAATATCTTATCCTGAGATTTTTCGATGACTTTGCCTATAACTGGTGTCTTGTCATACCCAAGAAGTGATACAGCCACAAAATCCACTTTATGAGAGTTGTGAAGGAATTAACCTCCGGAACAATATTCCGGAAACACGATATGTTATTTTTCCGGTGAGCGAACCTGTGGGGAGCATGGTACATCAAATAATGACGATAGCAAATGTACTGAAGGAAATGGAGATGCAGTATGACATTGCCTATTACCGGAATTCAGAGGCAATACCTAAAGGTACAAACCAATAATCTAACTACATAACTGAATCGATCAGGTGTATTAGTTAAAACATACCCAACACTTTCCTCCTCCTTAAATAAAATTGTCTGCTGTTAGACAGAATAAACTAAAGTGCTGGACTGTTTTAGTGAATTGAGGTCTAATTGTCAAACAATAATGCGCTCATGTGTATCAAAATTGTCGATTCAACCTAAGTGATTAATGTATATACCATCACTTGCCCGTCCTAAATTTTCACTAGAGGCAATTCACCTTCACCAACTGACGTTATTTTTTAATCGAGAAATTTCTCACTGATATATTTTGCTTTTTGTAGAACAATGTCTTCCTACCTGTTCAACCTTTCCAGTTGTGGTTACGAAGACTACCAAAGTCATTCAAGCAGAAAATCTATTTTCTGCACGAAATGAGATTGTGGTGAAGGAGAAAGACAGTGGGATTGTGTATCGAAGACAAAAGCCGGTAAAGCTCTACGAGCAACTTTTAGACATTTTTAAGGCCGACAAGTTGCTTCATGTGATTGACGCGTGTAGTGGTGTGGGTTCTTGTGGAGTGGCGTGCCAACAAAAAGGATTGAAATGTGTTATTTCAGAAAAGTCCCCCCTGAAGGTTAGACTTATTAACCAAAGGGTGAAACAATAAGAGTTGAACATTGAAGGAACGACATGATATTTATTAGTTAATTGTTAGTATATTCTTGTACAGTTTAGACCTGTTTCAAACGTCACATTTTACAACATGTGCCAAACGCACTAGATAATGATTGAGACATTTTAGCTGATACGTTCGATACATGCGCTGTTTTGGCGCTTTCATGATTAAGCAACTTAATTACCCTAAGCCCTAATCTAATCCTAATAAATAATTCATATTTCAGTAGTTCCAATATCGAGAAATAGCCGACGTTTGAAACAAGTCTGACCTTATTTCTCATTCTATTTACAGCTATTTCAATTAGAACTGTTGCGTCAATATAGTCTAATTAACGACCAATTAACTACTTTCACAAATCATGCTGCATTTGCAAATTCAAAGGTTGGCCGCAGAATATCTAACAAGTTGGCGCTGCATTTGCAGAGCCAAACTCAAAGGTTGGCTGCAGAATATCTAACAAGTTGGCGCTGCATTTGTAGAGCCAAACTCAAAAGTTGGCTGCAGAATATCTAACAAGTTGGCGCTGCATTTGTAGAGCCAAACTCAAAAGTTGGCTGCAGAATATCTAACAAGTTGGCGCTGCATTTGCAAAGCCAAACTCAAAGGTTGGCTGCAGAATATCTAACAAGTTGGCGCTGCATTTGCAGAGCCAAACTCAAAGGTTGGCTGCAGAATATCTAACAAGTTGGCGCTGCATTTGCAGAGCCAAACTCAAAGGTTGGCTGTAGAATATCTAACAATTTGGCGCTGCATTCAAAGCTTTCATGCAGAATTTGTAACA